ATCCAGTCGACGTTGACGGAGAGAAGAAACAGGCTCCAGTTCGGCTTCACCCGAGCTGGAAAAGGTCACCCATTACAAAGTGTTTGTCTTGCCGCATTTAACCTTTAAGATGATTGGTTAAAATGCATGTAAGCTGCGATTAATTCCCTGCAATGTATACCTTCCTGTCTGGCTTTTTGGAAAACTGCACGTTAAATGAAAAGCTTTCTCTCCTCAAGTTGTTTTCGTGACAACCGTTGTAAAAAGTCCATAACTTTCCAGAAAATAGTGTGAACTGAATTGTACCTTCCATTCCTTGACCTTTGTGTTGTCCCTCGTCTGAGTGCGGTGCATGTTCAGTAGTGTACAGTTCTGCCTCTCTGCAGAGCATGTGGATGTCATGCTGTGTGTGTTGGAGCAACTGTTATTATGACTAACAAGTGCAGCGCCCGTTCTAAACCTGCTTGTATGGAATGGGCTGTGTTAATGCTCCTTTTAATTATCATTGTCATTAGTGAGTTCTACAATATACTGTCACTTTTTATTGTTTGCATGCTGGATGTTGTGTGCAGAGCTTTTTTATAAACAAGTCTATGGTGCAGAGTGAAGTTAGAAAACATTGTGTTCATCCTACCTGGTTTATCTGCAATAAAGATATCACGGTCAATGTTTTTCATAAAATCAAACTGAATTTGCTTAAGTTCTCATGATCACTCCTATGGTTCATGTATAAGTTTACATTATTTTCTTTAACTGCTCTTGATTTTCATACATTGCATGTCGGCTATTTCACAGGTCAGAAAAGCAATTGACACAATCCAAAGACCCCCTTTTTCACCCCTTTTTCCCACACATTTTAGGAATTAGTAAATTGATGCATGGTTTGTATTTCACATATTTTGTCTCTTAATTTAAGATAATAGGGGATTTGAACTTGGAACACCATGTATCTGCTGCTGGCTGAAACAGGAATCCAGGAGCAGCAGTTAATCCAGCAAATTAGTGTTGGCGGTGCAAGAAACACTGACAACCAAAACATTTTTTACATACTTCTGCACTTGATAGTGGGAAAACATTGCACTTACAGCAGGGTATTATTTCTCCTCGTGTTGCACTGCTGTCAGGTCGCTGTGGTCGTGCGATACACGCAGCTCGGCAAAAACCTTTCCACAGTGAAAAAACAATTACCACAGCTACATGTCTATTCCCAGAAAAGCATCAGGGAAACAGCATGGGTTTTCCCAAGTGGGGTTCACAGGCTGACTCACTAACACATAATACCAGAAAATGTTGATGCATACACGACCTTGACAGCCTCAGAACTGAAGAGAAAGAATGTGGGAAGCAAACATTCAGTTTGATTTGCTCGCAGAATCAAGAGGAGCTGCATCAGTGGGAACATTTTTTAACACAAAGAAAACTGCACGGACATGAACAAAACATAAACTAGACTGGTTTTCTGCAGGTTTACTCAAGTGCAATTTAAGACTTTTTAAGTCCTTTAACTACAATAAATACAATTTAAGACCTATGTCTTAAAAAAGTCCCAGAATTACTTACTCCTCATCATTGAAGATAAGGAGAAGTATCCTGATATACTCTCCAATGCCGTGTTACCTCTCAAACTACAGACAGAGACAGTACGCAGTCTTCCCACCACCTAGCTGAGTACTATGTTAAAATTCTGACTGACTTTTTGTAGGTTATCAATTGTCACGTTGGTCTTTTTTGCTGTGCTAATCTATGTCCTTGAGAAAGAACTACAACCCACAGAGGCTTTAACATTAATACAAAACATTTCTCTTTAGAAAAGACACATTTTAATGATGCAAGTAGTGCTAAAGACTTTTTTTTTTTTTTTTTTAACTTTTCAAGAGTCAGCTGAAGCCCTGCTTGAGGCCACTGACTTTTCTAACAGAGCGACCCGGAAAATAAAAATTTCCCAGCGTACATGGATTGTCTCTCAAGTATGTTTCAGTCAATTTGCGAGAGATCATATCAGCAACAACTCGGTTAAGTCAAGTGACCATAAACAATATTCGAGGCGGCGTGAGATGCCATTTATATAATCTCGATGCACGTCAGCAAATTGGCTGCTTTGTATTCGCATCAGGTTTTGCCCCCTCTTGGGTTACAAAGGCTCAAGAGGTCCCTGAGTTAAGAGATAATTCCTTCTCCTCCACGCGGCCGCAGAAACATCAGCTGCGCCCAATCACTATCTACAGTCACACAGGCCGGAATATTAATGCACTAATAATACCATGGGGCATGACAAGCGCAGACCCCTCCACAGCACTGTTCATTAGAGTTTTATAATAATTTCACACGTCTTTCATATTTCCACTCTTTCAGGGAGTCAGTAGTGTGCGACTCACTGACACCTCTTTCACTGAGATCCGCAGTCATCAAATGTTAGCTACATTACTAGTGCAGTACCAACAATACCTGGTTCCCTACAGATGTCTCTGGATCATATTAGCTCCATCAGAGGGAAAACAGGTCTAAGCAACAAGAGGACTATGGTTACTCCATCTGTTCAGAACAGAGTGTGCATCTGCCGCATCTCTGTCATCAAAATGTGTATGAAAACGTTGCTACACATTATATAGCACCAAGTTTTTGCTAGGATTTTCTGTACCTTGCCCAGTCACCAACACAAATGGAATTATAATAATATCGGCAAAAAATTAACTAGATGTATGTTCACACTGAACAAAACAAACCAGCATGGTTGTAAATAAGGTAGTGCCGACCAGGCATGAACAAACAAATCTTTTCTTCTGGTATTATTTTAAATACACATCAAGTTTCGACTGGTATTTTGCTGGCATGTGATCCCTCAAGGGAATTGTTGTATGCAGGCACTCATATGTCTCATTGGTGGGTCTGGCCTCCCTCCCGTTCAGACAGACCTCCATCCATCCTGAGACAGGTCATGCCAGTCACAACCATTTGTCTACAATGGGGTAGGTTTGATACGACTGAGGAGTGCTGCGAGTGGATCTTCATTAGCAGCTAAAGATGGCTGCTGAGCTGATATCGTGCCAGAATGAAACAAATTGAATGGACAATTGGAAGAACAATAAACAAGTGGACTGACTGGGTTTGTCGATACAGTGCTGTGAATGTTCCATTGCTCTCGATGACCATATGCATCCAGAAGAATTTTGGACTGCCTCTTTGATAACACTCCTTGAGGTTCCACACCTATTTGCAAATGAAAATTGGTCTGACAATGCCAAGTTGTCAACAGCTACTGGACGAGATTTGAACGGTCATGATGAATCCCACTGACTTTCCCTATAACATCCCTATGTGTTTTGTTCACCTCAGGATGAACTGTAACTGTATACATACAGTGCTACCATCAAGTTGATTTGGATGAAAACTAATGTCACTCATCAGCCTCTGATTTAATAACGATTGGTGCTGATGACCATCCTTATACGATAAATTAAAATGGCAAACATTATAAACAGTAGGCCCGCTAAATATTAGCAGGTTAGTATTGTCAGCACTTTAGCAGCCTGTTATCAGTATTTGGCCCAAAGCACTATACAGCTTTCAGTGTCTATCTGTCGGATACGTCATAAACTAATAGTTTCAACACTTCTTGTACCTGTTTCAAAGTAAAATCACTCTTGTGTCTCTGTTGATTGAACTCAGTCATTTGTTTTAAGAAGGTTTTTGTTGTTATTATTGCAGGACTGAAAGATGTGTGGCTTCATACCATAGTCCAGACATTTAGTTGAGTACATACTGTACACTTTTATTGAAGGAAATACAGTTGTCCTACCAGAAACCTTGCATAGCAGCTCCACTGCAGAAAGGAAGCAGAAGAGGAAACAAGATGCACACAAGACACATCAAGGAATCAAGGCTACGCAATAGTGACGTGCTGCACATGCACCTACTATAGTGTGGCCAAGGCTTTGTGGCAGCCTTCAGTTGTCTTAAAACTCAAAAGGTGTTTAGTTTGTCCAGGTTGGACCGGCCTCTGTAGAGAGGACCGGCTCCTGATGTAAATATTAAGTATTTAAATATAACAGGCTCCTTTTAGGATAAACTAAACAACAATTCATACAATTTAGATGATTACACATTATTGAAAACTTCACGAGGATAATTTTATACTAAGTTTCTGCCAATAGATCCCTTACAGGTAAATCTTACATACTGGACCTTTAATACAAGGGAGCGTGTGTTTAAAATGTCTAACTCCAATGCCCCAAAGAGGCAGCACCAACAAAACACTGTGGCAAACAATCTTTGCCTGAGGAAACTGTGGTGTGTGAATGGCAAACTAATTTCCCACTGTCATGTCTCAGTGTTCTATCAACATAAACCTATCATCAGAACAGAATAAAGATGCAACTGCTGCATTAAACATTTAGAGTGCCTTCGACACCATGAATCATCACATTGTTAGATGGCTCATGTGGGATAGTGAAGTGGAAGTTTTCTTGTGTTTATCATGTGGGACGTTTCCTTGTGAAATCATGCAGGTGTCAGCTGCTGACTTGCAACTCGCTTGCTGCCACAAAAAAACCCCCCCCCCCCCCCCCCGGTTGCAGCTAATCCATCTCCCTGTCACCTCCCTGCAGCTCCATTACGCAGCATGATTACCATCAGATGAAAGCTTTTTATGTGTGTACACAGCAAAGAATAAGAGAGGATAAGAAAGAACCAACAACTGTAAGTCTAGAAAATAAAGCCTGTATCTCACTCATCCTCTAGATGCTTAAACAGTTTTATAAAAGCAGCACTGAATTCCCTGCTATGCTGTGTTTGCTTGTTCTGTATTTTATTGTAATGCCTAATTAGGCTGCATTTATAGAGCCATGGAGACTCCCTCCAGGAGAAGAACTATTGTTAACATAATTCGATAATGGTTGATTAAACATATTAATTTAAAATGTCACATGAATAAAACAATATTTTTCAAAGTTAAATGTAAACAGCCATTTGCCGATCTGAGAACTTCCTACGAAACAACCAATAACCCACAAAAAGAGAACAGCTTCCCAATTACAGCAGTTTTTATATGAAAATCAGCATCAACACAAATTCACTTTTATCCTGTTGATTTTTTCCAGCACACAGCAGCAATTCAAGTGTAACAGTTTTTCCAGCATTAATGCAACAATTATAGGTTTCAAATTAAGTGAGAAACAACCTGATTGACATGACAGAACAGCAGGTAACAGAAAATGATGACGGACACATTTGAAAGATCATCCAAGACATTGAAATATGTACCAACCAAGAGAACAGTTCTTATATACAGAATAAAACTAACAAGTAAAACCATGAAATGAAAGTAGAGTGCACATACAGTAATCAAGTAAATTACCGAGAGGGTTTAGGAAAAAAAGGACGGTGACAATTTACAGCACATCATAAACCTCATGTGTCTTCCTCCCCTCTCTGAGACGCAGTATGATATAAAACCAATAGATATACAGTAGTTTTACATTTTTATAGCAATTTCTACCCAAATATTTTGGGGTTTCCCTCATTTGTTGTCATCTCTTTGAGTTACAAACATAATTATCTCTTTTCTGGGTAATCCCTGGATATGCTCATTCAAACATGTGCTTATGATGCAGCATCATAAATAACATTCCCTACATGAAAAGTGATCGTGAAATGAGAATAGCTCATGAAATTCCATGGTTGAAGGTCTTTTAGAACCATCACTGCAGCTGCAGTACAGTTTAAGCTACTACAATATTAAACTGTCTATCAATATTAAACAGACTTTGACTATTAATATTTTTTAACCTACAGTATTAAAACCAAATAAGCAATTAAGACTTTTGCATCAATTAATGCATTTCATTCAAATAAGCCAATTTGCTAACTAGGTACAGTGGCCCTGTATGCTCAATGCAATGCAACTTATGAAAACATATGAAAATAGACACAATATAAGGTGTAATAGATTACAGAAATGCTGCCAGGATAATAGCAGATATTCACAATAATGTGGCAAACTGTATTTCTATATTTAGAATGTCTCATTCATGTTATCACAATTTTTAGTGCCATCTTGACCTTTGTTTTGTATTTCTCGTGTTTATTCTAACTTTTCAGGTTTTCCTAAATGCTGTTTATGTATTGTCATATAGGCGAAGATGTATTGATGTAATTTTCCTGTGTTTTGTCTATTTTGCATACATTTCATTTGACTGCAGTGTGTTGAGGTTTCAAGGCCGCTCAACAGTAAATAATGCTTTTGTAAAATATAGTATCATATAAGTAGAAAAATTTACCCATACATAATTTATGAAAACTACAAAAAAGGCATTTTAAGAAACATCAGTGGTTCTTTTACAGTAAGTGAATGTTTCTGATATTTTGTTTTCTATTCAAGTATTCTGGCAATAAGTAAAAACATAGAAATGCCCTTAAATGGTCAGTTCACCCCTCCACATTAACTGTATGCACTATCAGTAGAATTAGAAAATAGTTGCAAATATGCCACAGCTTCAACAGAACAATGTGCACGACTAGAAATCAGTGGGAAATCTCAAAACTATTTTGAAATTTGAGTGAACTGAACCTTTGATGTCTTAAGTTTGATAGTGCTACAAGGTCAAATTGATTATTTTTAAAACAATCCATAGTGGTTAATCATAAGTACCAAACCTGTGTGCCATGTCGGCCACACTCCTCTGTGTCTCAGGACACTGGGGTTGAGATGCATAAACAGCCTGAAGTGTAGATGTGTCAGATCATGCCCTGAAACTCCAGCTCCTCTGAAAAGGCTGGAAGGGTTTCTTAAGGTTGAGGAACATGAGATGAGGTTTGAGTCGAGGGGTTTTCTCAGGTATTACAGCAGCTTTGCTTTCCTCTGTGGGAAATCGATTTTGGTAGACTTCCGGGTATGACCTCTGGAACTGAAAAGAGAATGCATCTTTACTTGTTTGTTGTCGAACATATATTGTTTTTTTAACATTTCTCTCACACAAAAATCATTTTATTTTGGTTATTTTCATACTTCACCTCTTTAAGGCCTCTTTTTAGGCCTCTACAAACCTTTCATCTCTCACTCTTTGGTTGAACTAGATTAATTCCAGTGACTATAAAAAAAGGCTTACATGCTATTGCACAAAAGCAGTCTACTTAGTTACTGTATTCCTTTGACAAAAGACTTACCACATATCCTTTCCTAATTGCGGGGACATACCTGTTTTAGCCTTTTTCTTTTGTCCTTGGCAGGGAGTTCTTTGTCTGCTATCAGACCCTCCAGAAGCTGCTGCAGGGGGGTCTGGGTACCGATCACCTTCTGCTCGTCAGACTCCACCCTTCTGATCTGTTTACAAAAGGCTGGCGATGCACTAAAGTCTGTATCTGAACCTGCATATTTGATCTGATGGAAGACACAAATGGATTTGAATAAAGTTAAATGCATTCAACATTTGACAGCAAATATGAGGAAAACAGATTAGTGGCTGGTTGGTTCGAGACAAACCATCAAATTCTTGATGTGCACTCTTTTTATATTATTAAAGGCTGTGTAAAGCGAAGTCAGTCATTTGTCTCGTATCATGCTATACATGTCAGCGAGGGATTATTGAAAACGTGAAAAGAATGTGAAATGTCGTACTGAATTGTCTTTAGTCAATCATTGCCTAATGTTGAAATTCTGTAAGCCCGTGATGAGTCAACAATAAAATACTGTCAAATACAGGTGATGCAAATCATACAGGAAGTGAACTAAAGCTATTGACTTAACTGTTACATGTAAAACTCAATTTGTCTCATAAAGACATATCAGCACATGACATTAACTACAGGTTGTTCACTGTTGTACATTTGATAGTTAAATGAGAATAATGAATATAGCCAGTAAATATGAAAGTGTTCAGTGTGCAGAAGGGTTGGATTTGAAATCCCATCTAAAGCATTCAATTATGATAAAGGCATTCTGTCCCTTCAGTGTAGGGTGTTTAAGTGTACTGCATACAGTCGCATTCAAAGAAAATGATATTTTTTCCATGAATTGTATTTAGAACATAGATTGTATTGACAGTGTGTGTTCTACATTTACTCAACAAAACAAAACGCACATGAATATGAACCAGCTAAACATACAGGTATACAACAAAACCTTCGACCCCCGCTCATACTTTTGATCCGATCACAAGTGGACAGCTCTAAGTACATCAGTTAAAACCTGGCATTAGAATACACTAGTGCAGTGGCCGCTCTAAACCTGCCTGTTAAGAATGGGCTCTTTGCTTTTTTCAACATGAAATTAAACTGAATTTGCTTTATTTCAAATGTTCACTTGTGTGATTCACATATAAGTTTGAATGATGTATTTATTTTAATAGCTGGTGCTATTTGAGAGGTCTGTTAAGCAATAGAAACAATCTTCCGACCCAAGTTCATAAATTCTCAAAATAAAAGCTCTGTAAATCAGGTTGATTTAAAGCATGGCACCAACTAAATCAACTTTGTACTTTTACAAATTGCCAAAACAGGAAGTGATTCTTTGAATGTTCTCGCCATGATGGAGATCAGAACATAGTGCACTCATGTCTTAGTCAGTGTGATATAGTGAAATAAAAAAGAAAATCATCAAAGTGACCTTGCAGTGATTTTGACAGTATTTTTTGTTAATAAATGGATTTGGATTTTAATTCATGATTGATGTTCCTAAAATGTATGTGATTGCTTCCATGAATTGAACTTCTCTAGTATTTTCATATAGTGAATTTTATTTTGTCTCATGATTTACCCACAATGATGCCGCGACCAGCTGCTCTCAGCTCTAGTCTTTTTATCACAGACGTCAGTTTAGCAGACACAAATCCAAACATGAAATTTTGCCAGATGGGACTTTACAAACCCACAATTGTAGGACATTTAGAGCCTTAAGATACTGAGACTGGAGCCCTGTTCAGAACTGGTATTGACTTCTGTCTGGTCGGTTCATGCCTGGCATTCTGTGACCACTTGTGGTCAGATCCCACATCCGTGCTTTTTATGCATATATGTACATCATTCAATTCAGTTTCAGTTATGAGAGTATGAGAAACACTGAGAAGTGTAAAGATACCTAAAAGATAAAAGATATGAAACTGTAGCAGGTCAGAAGACATCAGCTAAGTAGACTGTCCTTTATATATGGCCCAGGATGCATTTGTGTTCACACAGTGAAAAAAAATGTGGCCACTTAAAGCAGTCGACTTGTGGTTGGATCTCTCAAGACAGAAGATCATATTAGGCCTGTACAAGGTCAAGTGATCTTCATTCACATGAACATTTGGATTTGATGCAACTTTTATTAATACCTAAATGCACCAGGGACTATATCACTTTAAGACTTAGTGTTTTGAAAAATGATGGGAACAATCGCATATGGCACACCATCCTCGATTTGTACATATGGATTGCAGGGAACAGATGCAGCAGAGGAGCAGCAGGTTCAATAGTTTAATTTGTTAACAGATTGTAACTTGAGAAAATCTACTAACCTGAACTCTTTTGAGATGGGACATATGCTCCTCAACCTGGCCACGCAGCTTGGAGGGCACTTGGAAAATGGTGTTGTGGTGCTCCATCATGAAGGTTACCAGTTTAGTGGCCAGCAGCTCGTCCAAGTCCATCTCATCTACTGAGCCCAGAACGCAGTGAGAGAACATCTGCAGCATCTGGACAAGAGACCATGATGAGAGATGGATTAAGAGATGGATTAGAAACCAGCTGCCAAACTTGCGAAGCTGAAGCCGATAAGAGTGAGTCAAGGTTGGTAGTTTAAACCCTGGCTCCTCCAGTCAGCATATTGAAGTGATATTGAACCCTAAATGGTTCCCATCATACTATGTATGAAAGTGGGTGTACATGGGTGAAAGTAAGATGGTTTGCGCCATTGTCAAAACAGAAAAGCTTTGTATAAATATTCAGTTTACCAATTAAACTTCAACAGTACACACACAGCACTACTTTATGCTGCACTTTTGCTATCACACACTGTTGGCACAGGGGAAATGTGGGGTTCAGTATCTTGACTAATGAAACTTTGGCTTTTAGACAGGAGAAGCCAGGGATCAAACCACGACCTTCAGATTTGTGGACGACCCGCTGTATTCCCTGATCCACAGCAGTAAAGCTTAATTTGTCTATGCACAGTGTTGCAGACTTAAGACTGTTTTGTACCTCGTCGTATTATCCAGACAGCAAAATGTAACATAGTTAGAGCCGTCAGAGATATCTGTTCCTACGGTCAAGAAAGAACATTTTTGCTCAAACCTTTTTTTTACTGGAGTTCCAGAGCAGAGAATGCACAACATATTTTCCTGTTATGTTCCTATATCTTGGAAAGTTTTCCTTTGTGTCATGAATCTGTGGAGGGAGTAGTGCAAGTGTAGAAGTATTACACTCACTATATACTTGAATACATTACACTTGATTTTGATAAATAATGTACACTACACCTGTAGTACGCCAAAAGTGTTGAACCAAACGTGTTGTAAACCTGCATGTTTGGAATGGGATGTTCTCTTGGCCTGTTTTAATGCTCCAGAGCTACTTCAGAAGTATTCCTTGTCCATAATGAGTCCTCCTCAAACAGTTCTGCAATATCCTGTCACTTTTTATTGTTTGTGTTTTATCGGATGTTGAGTGTACACGTAGTGAATGATTGATGGGAAGTGGTACCAGTGTGCGGGTAGAAATAGTGTCATTGAGTGGAGGCAGATGGGGATTCTGGCAGACCCGCGCCATGAGGCGCAGTAACAGCTGGAGGCGTCTTCGGTTGGGCGGCGGCAGTAAGAGACTGCTGACTTGAAGCGCCTCAGTGGCTACCTCCTCCTCTTGCAGCAGACCTGCAGAGATATGAAGAGAGGAGAGTCTTTTATCCTGAGGGCAAACAAACACAGCCTCGACCAAAACTAGGTTTTATCTGGAGAACAGAGCAAATATTAGAAGCTGAATCAAATTGTGGTGTACTTACTGAGAATGTTGACAAAGACTTCATATAGATGGAAAGTCAGCAGGGGTTCTTTGAGTCTCTGAAAATAATCTGCGACTGTTCTCAGAACATCTCTCTCGAAACCCGGGTACACTGGTTGTTTGGTTTCGTTGCCATTAGGCCCTGAGAAAGGAGAGAAATGTAATTTTAAATGCAAGCAAATAAAAAAGCACAACAGCACGTAAGACTTTATGGAATATGCGTACACTAGGACTATAGCCAACAGCCGAGGCAAACTGGATCCGCGAGCGGTGTATGTGCATCTTGCTTTTTATTTCACTGCCCATGTTATCAATTCAGAGCAGCCACACTCCCTCTGAGCTGCTCTGCTCCTCAAGAGATTCAGTTTCAATTTCTATCTGTTGAATATATCATTGATGCATAAATATTTGTTACACTTCCTGTGTTGACTGAATCCATTAATTTGTTTATTTACTTTGAAGACTAGAAGATGTACGGCTTTGTAACGCAGACTCCTGGAATTTGGCTGAGGGCATTTTTTTTTTACATTTATGTTTAAAGTCAGCAAATATAAAATATATACTCACAGTTGGCGAGGCATTTCATTGCAGATACCACCCAGTAGGGCATGTCCTCTAGAGACACAAAATAAAATTGGTGAGTTTCAATATTTTTTATAAGTTGCATCAAAGAAGCAAAGTTGTTCTTGTTTTTAGTGAATCCGTGCATCATACCAGCTTTGTTCTCCAGAATGACTATGCCCGTCTTATTAACACTGAACACGTTGTGAACAATGTGTTTGCTGTTCACATGCGTGGGGTTTAACACTCCATCCAATGACTGCAGGCCCAGCACTCTCTGTAAACTAAAACAGCAGCATCAGCATGAAATTGCAATATTAAAAAGTCAGCATGAACAGTGCAACACAAAGTAACATACAAGAGTTACATACTGTGCAACTGTCATTGATTTCCAAATTTGGTCCACTTGTTTGGAAGTGATCTCCTTCCTGCGTATGAGCTTGCACTCGTGCACGTCTCCAATCGCTACACTGTGTCTTTTATTCCACAAATCTGAAGTCTGATCACAAAGAAATGGGAGAAAAAGTTTATTTTAGATTTACACAAAGGCAGCAGAAACATAGTCAATATATTCCATCTACACCTACAATAAAAGTCTCATGGTATATTCAAATACATTTTTGTTTTTCTTTACATTGTGTCAGATATGGTGATGTTCACTCTACAATACTTAAAAATTTTGTTTTTTGTACAACACCACCTAAATTAAAAGAAAAAGAAACTATGCCAAGATTTCGCTACCATCTGGACTGAAAGGAAAGCAAACAAACATTTTGGAAAGCAGCCAAATGCCATTACTTTGTGAGATGGTTATCCAAAGAGGAGATAATTGCACTTTAAATCCATTTTGTTCTGCCAGTGTTATTTTTTATGGCGCACAATGTGATCACTCACAAAAATATGATGGATGTCCAACATTGAAGTTAATTAGAGGCCTTATTAAACGAGTCCTATAAGAACTTTGGCTCACTTCATCACTGAGCAGTCGTTTAGCTTTCCTTCTTGCTAATGTCTGACTGTACTGTGAAAGATATCCTTTATTGTGTTTTTGTCAAAATTCTAAAAACTAGGGTCCAAATTATGTGAAAATATATATTTTCACAACGCACACTGATGAATATCCCCTCATCACCATCAACACAGTGCCTGTGCTGCCTAGAAACCCTGCAGCATGAGACAGGATGGGCTTAAACATCTTTGTCATTCTCACCATGACAGCAGACTTCAGGGGTGCGATGTTTTCCTGCTGAGGCAATTCTTCATAGTCATCCCAGCGGATGAGTCTGGGCAGGTCACAGCTGTCTCTCAACAGAGGCCTCGTTGGAAAAGATTTCAGAGGAGACAGCGTGGGGAACCTGGTGAGAAAGAAATCAAGAGCTCAAATCTCAGCCAAAAGAGCAGAGAAGGGAGTGACGATGCAGCCAAAATGTCTTGTAATGTTTAGAGTGACAAAGTACCTGTACAGATGGCTGTTGTCTTCGAAGTCCTCTGTCCCGTGACGTCCTTTGATATCTTCAATGACATGGGCCTTGAAGAACTTCCTGAGCAGCTGCAGCGTCTGGTAGCGAGTCACCTCAGGCCCAAAGTTGTAGTTGCACCTCAGCAGCTCATGCAAGTAATCAACAGCCTCGGATCCAGTGAAACTGCAGTCATAGCAGCGGAAGTGTGCCCAGTGCCTTCTGAGCGGCATCCCCCCACGGAAGAGTTTAATGGTTTCATTCCACTACGTGACAAGGAGAGATACCAGAGTTATGTGTAAGAAATGATGTAGAATGCCAACCATGATCAGATACAGTCGTTTCTGTACAATCAACAATCAATTGCAATCAATCTAGTTTAATTAGATATGGTATATAAATATTCATAACTCATTTTGTTCTGTACATTCCACTAAATCCAAGACACCACCATTATGTAAAACTGTATCATCAAAAACATATCCTGGAATTACCCTCGTCTATTTCACAACAAACAGAGCTTTATCTTCCAGGAGTTCTTCAGGTGGTACAGGGGTTGTGGATCATTAGATCTCACTAGTATTCAAATGGATGGGGATGGCAATGAATAAAACAAATCAGGAGAGAGACAGAGAGAGAATGAGGAAACACAAGGTCATTACAACTCCGCAGAGCATTAAACTGTGTGAAACAAACGCTGCTGACTGGTGGCTGGGAATCTTGAAAAGTGGGCTTTATATGAAAAATAAATAAATAGAACAATGATAAAGGTTAGTGAATTTTTTTAGGTGGCAGCTTTAATGATTTGCGATACCATCAATTATTAAGCCTTCATCTTTGTATCACACACACCTTCACACATACAATGCAGCTCAATTAATCCCCCAACAACAACTGGCATAATTCATTCAATTGTTAATTAAATCAATTATTAATCTACATCATTATCTTCTAACGTCTCTGTATTTTGGTATGTTTTCTGGTTTATTTGTCTATCGTTCCTCTTCCCCTCTTGGTTTTCTACAATCTAGTGTGTCATGTCATTTTTACTTAACAGTGCAAACATCAAAAATATTTCTTGGCTATTCTTGCTTTTCAAAAGCACCAGCAAACTTTATAAGTCACGTCTGCTGATTCAGCAAAGGTTTTCCCATTTGTGATGTATAAACCTGAAGCAGCTAAAGGGAATCCATCCAATCAATCATCTAATTATAAACGCCTCTACTTTCCCTCCAATATTTTAAAGATATTCTAGGGTCTATCCCTTTAAGTAGAACACAGCATCTGTGCTGATATCCATAAAATCTGTTTCCTCAAGTCAAACAGCCTCCTGTGAAAAAGGCCTTAAGGAAAAAATGGCTTTGAAAAACAGCTCAAAGTAGATTTGATATATTCTGACTTGCATGTTACGACATAGACATACATTTAGTATATTATTCTGCAATAATATACAAAGTATCCATGAGTGTTGACAGGGGGTTAACGACCCCAACCCACAGTCACACATGAGCCGTTTTCAGACATAAACTGTCCGAGCAAGTAGGTTGGGGCTTTTTCTGAAATGGAGCTTTCTCTGGAATTGGCCTTTCACACATGAACAACACAGGAGATTGTCCAGTCTCCAACAACACAGTAATCTCCGCAGTGTTCAGGTGAGGGGTGGTGCAGCGTGCAATGGCAGGACGTGAACAGATTAAGCTGCAGAGATCACGTGGTCATCAACATGCCCTGCTGTATTCTCACAAGGGCTCATTCTGACATTCTCCAGTGTTATTACTAGGGGGCTGGTCAGAGAGTGTCCAAAGGTTCTCTGGGGTTCAGTGCATGTCTGAAAGCAGCTATGGAAACAAAAACTGACCAGATAAGTGTGTTGTGCATGAAAAGGCTTTGACATGAAATTAAAGACATGCAAACTCAGACCAGCTCACATCAACAATACAGGACAATTTGATCAGTAACATCTAGTCACTTTTTCTATCACTCATCCTAAATTAATTCCTCTCATTCCTACCACCTTACATTGACTCATATCCTCCCTACCTCAACATGCCAACCCACAGTTTAAAAAACACACCATATTCCTGTGCAACACAAACCCTACCTCCCTCTTTCCTCCTTTGTTGTTTGTTTCATTCGGATATTTATAATTAACTTAAATTAATGTATGGTGTGCTCTTTTAATGTCATAATGTAGAGCTGTTATTGTGAAGTACATCAAACATGATGCAGGCACACGTGGCTCAATGCTTTAAAAGTGGATGTACTAGAAAAACTCAATAACACAGTCATGACACTAACATGGCAGGTTAAAGTCCACACGATGTGAAGGCCATGTGTTTGATATGAAGAGGCTGCTCTTGTTGACAAGTCAGTCAGGAAACCTCGGAGCAGTCTCCGTGGAGCATTATTTCATTAGTGCATACAAGACTTCAATCACTCCAACTCTCTGTGTAACTTCTGAACTCAAGTTCTGAACGGAGCTGGATTAAAACAGATTGTCGATCCTGCGCTTCGAGGTCATTCACGGTGCTAGCGATAAGACGGCTCTTTCACCGGGTCTTTCACCGGGTCTTTCACCGGGTCTTTCACCGGGTCTTTCACCGGGTCTTTCACCGGGTCTTACCACCGATACCAGCGGACTCACCAGCTTCGTCGCCCGGTACGGACCCGGTCCAATGACGCTGCCCTCCATTCCGACACCGAGAGCCCGCCTCAGTCGTGAGAAAACATGGAGACGATTGACTTTAACAAAGTTTGAGACAGAGGAGGTGAAGCTGGAGGAGGTGCAGGAGGAGGAGGAGGTGCAGGAGGAGGCAGCTTCTCCACACAGAGGAGGAAACGTTGCTGGGAACTTTGAATCTGCTGCGTCACAGCATCCGAGCGACGTCATTCGTCAGAGGGAGGATCACGTGACCCGCAGGAACCTAACCGACGTTCGTGAATGGATGTGGAGGCACAACACACACACGCACACAAACACACAGAGACACACACACAACACACACACTCATGCACACAGACACACACAACACACACAGACAAACACACACACACATAGACACACACATAGACATACACACCCACACAAACACACACACAGAGAAACACACACACGCACACAAACACACACAAACAGATAGACACACACACATACAGATAGACACACACAAATACACACAAACAGATAGACACACACACTCACACACAAACAGAAAGACACACAAAAACACACACATAGACATACACACACACCCACACAAACACACATAGACATACACGTACACACACACAACACACACACTCATGCACACAGACACACACACACAAACACACACGTGAGTAAACCCTGCAGCAACAAACTTTGGACTGAGTTTCCCCTCCCAGAGCAAACTTTGTTTTTCTCTTGTAAACAATTAAAAGCTTGTTCCCTCAACAAATATTGAATAAATCAAAACAAGTACACTCACACAGATTTCATCCTGTTCACGAAGTGTTCATGATAAATACAGAAAAATCAATCATATTCTTTCACTGTTACTGTGATATTCAAATCATTTTTGGTCAATTGTTTATTAAAGGGCTCAATGAATGGACTTTGGGCTCCTCTGGCCTGTTCAAAGTTGTGATTCTTTGCTGTGTATGACAACTATTGTATACAAAAATACAACATTCAACTGCTGCTGAAACAAGAACAATAGGCCTGTGACTATGATTTTACACTACCATATATAAGAAATATTGATTACTTACTATTGAAAGAAACACATTTTATTACTTTCATAGAAAAATAAATGCATTTAATTAGTATTTCCCTTTATCTCTTAGAGCAGGCTTGATATCTATGGATTTAATCATCAACTTAATCTGTACACACTCTCAAATTATTTTTATTATATAGGATGTGACATTAAAGTAATCGTTTCATATCAAATCCCACCTGCCAACACAATTGAAATTAATTTTGCAACAAACTGATCGATATACTTTAGAGAAATCATAAGTAGATCAGTCAAACCCATGCGACACAATCCACCTCTGCTTCTGTGGTTGTATTTGATTAAGGGGGATATAATTACTCCTCCTTTGAACAAGCAGATCAAGTTATCAAGATATAGTCTCTGATGAAACTAGAGAGGAGTAGAGTAGGAAAACGGAAATAACTGCGGAGATGACAATCTCCAAATCTTTGTCGGATCAATGGCATAAACAAGTGAAGGAGCTTCACAGAGGAAAACTACAATTTTCCTGAAACAGAGTCTTGTTCTCACAGAGCCTGAAACACAAACATACTGTAGGTGTAAACTTGGCTGCAGGGAAGAATGATCTCACACTGATTTAAAGTATTCATCACTTTTATTGCTTTGCAGCAATAAAGATTCTTGGACATCCAGCGTCTTCTATCAACAACCCAGTCATATAAACTATCCCCACTGGGATCCCTGTGGAAGACGTATTCTGCATGGAGATTGAGGGTTGAGGGAGAGCATGAATAGGGCTGGAGAGCCGACAAATCACAGCCCCAATGTACACAATGGACCCCAGAGCTCATTCAAAGCACATACCACAATCCATAGAGCCCTGTAAGACTTTCCCACGTTGAGCTTTTACAATGATATGGCCCCGAAAGTGATGATACAAAATTCAGGAGCAATCAATCAGAGCTGTGGACCTGCCATTTAATGGCCCTACAAAAAAAGCACCTCAAGACTAACCTTTTCATATTTACTGCGGTGTCTTTTGAGGACAAAGAGGTCTCCTCTCTCTCATTCCGTGGGCTGCAGGAATGAGGCAGAGACAGATATCTAATCAGGAGGGTCAAGACAGAGCTGCTTATACACCCACACTTCAGACTGACTGTGGGGGAGCTGAGTGGCACCTCGAAATGAACTCCACCGGTGAAAGTGCTCTATTAAAATGTATGAGAAACACCACAACGACGATCTCTGACTCTGAATTTTTAGTACTGTAGTATAACAAAAAATAAGCTTGCACACACCTGCTGCAACAAGTACATAAGCATTCAGACTACATCACTTAAACTATATCACCTGCAGCATATCAAAATGCTTTAAATACTCGCTTTTCTCTTGATATATGATGTTTAATCAAGCCAAGGCTGAAATATACGAGCACAATAAACACAGAGGTCTGGGTACACTCGGCAGGGATGACGTCCAAAAACTCCACCAGCTGAGATAATGAAAGCTGTGTCGGTAGCTGCCCCCTACAACTCAGAGGTCACTAATACGTTTGGAGCGACGTGAGGGCTGCAGTGTCGAGAGAAGAGGGTTTGGGTTGTCTGAAATCACAACTAGGCCCTCTGAAGGTGTCGTGAGCCGAATTAAATGAAACATGCCATGGGGGGGGGGGGGGTAAAAGAGATAAAAGAAATCTACAAATGTGTGATGAGGTATGCAAGTATATTTAGATTTGTAAATGTGTTGACAAATCTGCACGTGTGTGCGTAGATCTATGAATGTGGAGTTAAAACTACAAACCTGCACATTTACAGAGCAGGGCTCAGGGTTTTGCTCTAAGAGCTTGGAATACAGACAAGATATCAGTTGCAACTCAAATGAGCCTAGCAAATTAGTTTTAGTTTTACTCTGGATTTTGCATAGATTTGTCAGTTTACCTGTTTTTTATCCAATTAAAAATCTGATTAACCTGATTGGTAAATGGTTAAAAGGTTTGTATTTATATAGCACTTTTCTTGAATGTATGCATTTGTAAATCTCAGCCCTTTTTTACACATATACAAGAGTGATTACACAAATACAGATTGAGATACAGTTATGCAACTCACCACACACACACACACACAACTATTGCTAACAAATTGGCCCCATATCAGAACTGTCTCCTTTCTTTGCCTCACAAGTCGTCCTTGACTTCTCTGTGAGATACTGAAGGCTAACCAGATACTGAAGGCTAACGAGATGGGGGACCATGGCAGCAATTACCACAGCCAACAGGGGCATTGACACGGCTCATCATGTCAGCATCGGCGGAGGAAACTGACAATAATCACATTACACGCACATTGAGCGATGACATGATTTATGTGAGCAAGGACAGGATTACAATACATCATATTTTTGACCCCATTTTAGACCCCAAGTACACACCACCAGCTGTCAGATTGTACTACAACACATATCTTTCCTTTGTGTGAGACAATTAGAGGGTGTTTGCTCCCCATGTGAGTTTTTTTGTATTTCACTGTGTTAGGACACTGAATCAAAGACTTATTGCGGCTTTTTTCAACAGAATAAGATCAAATCTGCACCCTGTCTGTTTGTCAGCAGGATTACACAAGAACTACACAAGAGATTCCCATGACACTTGGTGGAAGGATGAGGAATGGGCCAAGAATACAGACGAATGGAATTAGGATTTTCTTTTTCACTTTCTTTCACATGGCATTTTTTTTACATTTCCCCAAATTCCCAGGGAATAATTACTGGATCTATTACTGTGTGCAAAAATTCCCTGTGGCTTGATTGAATTTATGGGAACCGTTGGGCCTTGGTGGAGGTTTGTGTTATTCTAGTTACCTCCCCAAGGAGGTTACGTTTTCACCCCTGTCCACTTGATGGAAAGATGTGGTTTTCAACACTTTCATTGATTTCTCAGAGAATAATCCATGGATCTTGATGAAAAAAAAAAACTGACATACTTAGGCAGCTGATATTAATGAGTGTGTGTATTTTGGTAGTAACCTTTAGATATTACAATAAACTTGAATTGTATTCTGTCTGGAGGCAAAGAGAGATACTATGGATTAGCTCCATCAGAAATATGTCAGGACAAACATTCACTTGGATTTGCAGCAAAAGCTATGCCCTGTCTGGTGCTACATCCAAGCAGAGATGAAGCAGGAAGTCCTGATGACTGCATAGACCCAGGGTTATGGAGAAGGAAACTTTTTAGATATGGCCTCAGCAGACATTGTGACAGGAGCTAGAAGAAGAGCCAGGTGATGTGCTGGACACAAAAAAGAAATCAAACAAAACCTGTGACAGCAGTATTTAGCAAGGAGCAGGATCAGGAACTTGATGTTGAGAGGAAAGACAGCTTTATTGAGACCCATGAATAGGCCTTGTTTGAATGTGAGTCTCAACCTGTGATTATCAGGCAGCTGATCCGTATTCTTATTCACCACTGAGGGGAAACGTGTCCAGTTGTCCAGCCTCATTAAAGGACAGAGGTGAGGAGGCATTCAAGCGCCCTTTGTATTTCTCAGAACCATTCGGAGCAGCTGGACCTACCCACGTCCCCCTCCACATTGTTTAGTAGAGGAACAATTTGATTTATGATTTATTTTTTGGTGACAATTTGATGTGTGCAATCAGAGTAAATTACAATTCACAGCCATATAATCTCGATGACAGCATCAGGGCAATATGCTGTTCAATTTTCTTTGGCTCAATTTAATTTGTTTTCTAAAAAAAAAAATGTCAGACCCACTACAACATTAAAGCCAAAATGCTCTAGTTGGACCTCCATACTGGAAGTTGAGGCCTTGACTGTTCCAATGTGTGATGTGCAGGTGAGATAGGATATACATTCAGTACATTGGGATATTACTGTAAGTCAATGCATTAAGGTGCTCTCTGGTTAGCAGATGAATCATTAAAGGAGTTTTAGATTTTGTGAACACTAGCACTGCAGCAATATGTTTGTGTTTAGATTATATAATGCACACATTAACATGCCACACATATTATTGCCGCTGGTAAATTCTCACAATTTCCATTGGCATGTAAATCTATGATCTGGATCTCCTTGCTCTCAGCCTTTCACCTTCCAGTGTTACTGTCAGCTTGACTGACAGACGACTTGTGGGGGGGCAGACTCCCCAGGCGTTATGGAAAGCCTTTGTGGCACAGCATGGGCTTGTTGTG